TGACAAATGGTAAAATTACATTTTAAGTAATACAAAAATTGTCATTTCTTCATGACGAGTGTATGCGTCATGCACAGCAAAGAAGCTGTTTTTTCGTAATTGACAAAAATATTATAATATTTAATAAATGTTCCTTGGCAATATTAATAGTAGTAGTAATGTACAAATTATACTATCCTACGTTTCTAGATTAAAAAAATGTGATTTATTGCATTCCTTTGCCTAAGTATTTAAATAAATATGAAGAAATATGGTTAATACACATTTATATATGTAATACACATTTTGTTAATCCACATTTTTCTGAAAGCTAATTATTTTCTATTCTTTGTAATAAAAGTCTTCTTAATTGACTTAATAATTCGTCGCTTATATTTTTAATGTGATTCAAATGAAATCTACAAGCATAGGAGCTTTTAAGAAACGTACGACGAACATGTTTGTACATTTTGTAAAATTCTTTTTTATTATACATATATGTACCTTATAAAGATTCTATAGTTATGAAAAAGATGGAGAGAAGGAAGGCTTATTTCAGCCGTGCATTATTCACATAAATTAAGGTAAACCCCAGTAAAATTTTTCCAATCTATAAGTTTTCCTAATTACGATCGTAAACCCGTTACCACCGCCAAGTTGTTCCATTCTCATTATTGAAAACTACAAATATTTACTTTAAATCAAAGTATTTTAGTTTTTAATTTGCTTATTACATATGTCAAAAAGTTACACATTAAATAGAAAATGAACTGTTCTCCTTTTAATTAGTCTAAAAATTTAATAATCATAAATGTGTATTTTTCGTACAAATTCATTAGAAAAGTTCACTTTATATTTGAAAGATTTAATTTCAAAAGGTAGTGATACCAACAATGTTAGTAATTAATACTTTGAAAAATAATTCTCCGAAAAGGCTTTTAACGTAATGACAGCCTACTTGTAGCAGAAGGATATTATCAACTTACTAACTATATGTTATTCATATAACATGAGAATTTATGCCATGGTACTTCGAGGTTATTTTATGCAAGAAGACTTTGTACATATTTCTTATCTATAAACCAGCTCCATTCTGACACAGTATAGATTTTTCTTCTTTTCAGGTTTTAAGATGAGAATAAAATAAATAAAATAGACGTATGCAATATACATATGTAACAATCATTCAGTTATTTACGTAAGAAATTTGAATAGTAAATATAAATGAAAAGTTTTTGAATGTTGAAAGCAAATTTAAACTTGTTATCCCAAAGTTAAATAACTATTACAAAATAATTAAATATAACTTTTTACAGGGCTATTGATGTGTTTCAAGATAATGGTGATAATGTCTTTTTATGCGTACATCATTTGCGATAATGTAAATCATCAATCCATGTCTCCCATCACTAAGCACAGTAAATTCTTCAATTGTCGCTCAGCTTGAAAAGACATATGGACAACTTGGGAAGAAGGGATACGATTATTCGGATCTCGTGCCTCATTTTTATAGTTGCTGACAATCGACATAACCTTAACTATGAAAAACGAGCCACGAGGCTTGAATAATCGTATTCCCTCTTCCCAAGTTGTCCATTTATATTTACAAGCTGAGCAACAATTGGGGAAAATTTACTGTATTAAGAGTTTAGTCATTAAAAAGATATAAAATCTATAAATATGCAGGTAACATGTCAATCTTGATGATCTTTATTTAAATAAATCAACTTTAATGTTAGAAATGCAATCATTCTTAAGTCCAAGAATTTCTTTTTAGACATCTTTGTCATTATATCAACTTAAATATAGGAGGTTCTACTGTATAAACTCATGTATTAACACTAATATTGAATGATGATGGATATCAAACTAATTTTATTTTAAAAGATAGGTGGTACTAGAGCAATTAGAGGGCGACCAAGCGTGGGTGGTCAATGATTCAGTGGTATACTACACCGACAACATCATAGAGTGCCCGATGGAAACGTACCCCAGAAAAGCTGGGCCGGTGTCAAGCTTCCCGGAGTCAGTACTGCAGTTTTGTTCAGGACCCATCTCCACTGATAAAAAAGGTCGAAGTATTTATTTTAATAAACACATTAAACACAAATTAAAGGATCGGTATCGAGTATATTGATCTTTTATACGTTACAGATATCAGCATGGGTCTCAAAAGTCCAACCTTACCTTCTAGAATCTACTTCAAGTATCGGTGGGAACCAGGCAACGTCGTGCTCCTGCAAATCAATGATAACGGCCCTTTTTTGGGCCTCGAATTCACTAGAACCTTATTCAGTCCAGAAGTGGGAACATCAATGCTCGAATAAAATACAATTCTCTCTATTACCGAAACCCACAATTAAACTACCTACTACTTCGACTCCGAAAAATTAGTAAATATTTTTCAGACATTCTAAACTAAGAGTGAACAACGTTTTTCATAAAAATATCACTGTTACGTAGTTAAAAAAAATAATCGGTATGTTCACGTTCCGTGACTTGTTCATTGCTTCGAACGCGGCTCGAAGCCTTTGCGCTCCACGGTCGTAGCCGCGTGCCTCTCGTTCGCTGGACTACCTTGCAGTTCGCGCGCTTGCCTTTTATTAGTTAATAACTCGTAAACAAAGCCGCGGTTTGTATTTTCGCTGAGGAATAAGTTACTGCAATGTCACCTTAAATGACTTAATCTTGGTATGCCACGAATGATGCCGTGCCACTGATACGGCCCTGTAATTTATCGATTTTCACGCTACGCCAATGCTAAGATTCGACGGACTCGGTGTACACGTATGCTGCGACACACGACGCGGCTCCTTTGACTCGAATTCCCGGAAGACAACTCATAATACAATGACATAACCTTTTTCAATTCTAACATTTTAAAACTGATTGATTGACATGATATAATTTGTATAAATATTTCTGATTCAAATAAAATGAAACACGATATAATTTCGAGATTACATTTATTTATTTAATATTTATTATGTAATTCGTTTTATTTCATTATCGTTGTGACTATATAAGAAAAATACATTGTTATACGTATAAATAATAACTGTATAGCATATTTCTAATATACGCTAAAGTAATCTATTCACCACAAGTGTCATCATAATTATGTATACGTTAAAAAGCTGCATTGATATTATACATAATTATGCATATAAACTAATTAGATACGTGATAAATGATATTCTATACTGAATTATTTTGTGGTGTGTCATCCTTAGAATCGTGTAGTATCGTGACCTACGGTGATGGTATTCTTCTATTTCGTAAAAACAAATAATGTAAAAAAAAATTAATTTATGAATAATTCATATTGAAATTGACTGCAAATTTTTACCATTGTATGAATACGTACTTACTTATTTAATTTTCCTTGTCCAAGATAAATAATTTTAATCCCTGCAGCATGCATGTCATTGTCTCGAAGGCCCTACGTAATTCATTATTCACAATCCCATGAAAGATCATCTGATTTTAAATTCCCGGGTTGATGGAAAAAGTAGAGTAAACTGTTCATTCGTACTCTCCGTCAAACGCGTAGGCTCTTTCCACCGTGTCTCCGTCGAAGGCATGTCTTCTCCGAATGTCATCGAATTGAGTCATGTCTTCTCCGAATGTCGTTGAATTGAGCCACGTCTTCTCAGAATATCGTCGAATTGAGCCATGTCTTCTCCGATTGGCAGTCGAACATAGACCTGGATAGCATAACTTCACTGATATTTTCTTTCGAACGACATACATACCTTCTTTGAAGTTGCCTTTAATATTTCAAATGTTAAAAAACGGTATATCAAATGCCTTTTTCGCAAATAAAATAAGTTACTTGCTACATGTAATGAATATACACGGTTTAAAGCACGTCGTGCTTGGTATCATTTTAATTGGGAAAATCCGACCACTATATTAAAAAAATTTCAATACATATAAATTTAGGAACGAAAAAGTTAAGGCCTCTCTCTCGTGCGCGCGCGCGAAATGTCGGCAATCACAATTCCGACCCAGCGACATTTAGGGAGAAATTATTGTACTTAAGATGACCTCAGGAAATACGATAATTTTAGGACACCCAGTATATTGACTTCAATATTTTATATAAAAGTCATACGCCACACATTATCCAGATCTGCGATAAATCTCTTAAAATAATCAGATTTTTTAGAGCAACATGATAAGAATGTAGCCCGCAAACACTTCTACTCACATATATGAACCTCTCATCTTATCTTATCCGGTATTTTCCAAGAGGTCCGTAATCTAAGAGATAGCTAGAAGAAATCCAAATAGAAGGAATTATACTTGCGATGGAATACAGGGAACCTACTCCCACCAATCTTATCATGGCAAAGGCTAGATCTCCGTACTTTGAACATCGGGTTATTTGTCTGGACTAAAAATATCTGTTAAAAGTTATCGCCAATCACTCGCACCCTTTTCATTATACGTTGTTAGGCTTCTGTGAAGCGTATACAGAACAGAAATTAAGATCCAGTAAGGAAACTCGAAAATGCAATCCGCGGCTTTGTTTTCGAGTTATTATCGAAAAACAGTGACCAATGCGAGGCGAACGTGGGAACTTCGAGAGCCAGCTGCACGTGGTTTTGGCAGAAGGTCGCGACGGACATCGAAGTAATGAATAAGTTACGGAGCGTAAACTTTCCGGATTTCTTTAATACGTAACAGTGATTGTTCCGTTGTATGACGGAACCCCTATAAATCAAGCGAGGAAAAATGTTGTCCTCGAGTCAAACATTATTGACCATCCACGTCCGTCCCTGGGAAGAGGAAAATTGCCAGATGTGGATAACCCAGGAACCGAAGGCCCTAGGAAATAGCGTATTTTGGACGAAGCAATCGAAATGCCAGAACACCCGTAGTAAGCAATTTCGTTGAAAGCCATTTCCGTCTTCTATTCAAGTATTTCTTTTATGATCCACAGTTGGTCACCAAATTTCATTCCTAGTCGTTTTTTACGATATGCATGTTCCGCCGAGAAGAGGCATTTTCCGGATCATTGTTTGCTACGGCTTATCCTTGGGACACTCGGATTCCTTCGCGGGCGTCACCCGAGGGCACGAGCATTACCTGCGGGGGACCCTTACTTTGAGGCGGTCACTTTCCTAATTTTGCAATCCAATCAGTCAGGGCGATCGTTTCCCTCACTCCTCGCAAGAATTGAACAATCCACGAATCCGACTGTCTCAAATTTAGAACACACCCACACCGAATTTACCTCCGAGAACACACAACACACAACAGTCATTCTACCATCAACCCGAACACGGAATAGTCTACTCTCTAAAAACTATACTCTGTATCGATGTGAAGTTGAATGTTCAAATATATTCCAAATTAAAGAAAAGAAACTCAGCTTATTATCCCTAGCATCTTGAAAAGTCGTAGGGAACCGCGAACATCAAATACGCGGAAAAACAGTGATATTTTTAAGAAAAAAGCTGTTCTCCTTTACTTTAGAACGTCTGAAAAATATTTATTAATTTTTCAGAGCCGAAATAGTAAGTAATTTAATCGTGACAGTCGTTTTAATTATTAATTATAAAGTGAAAACTAACAATAAGACTACAATACAATTAACAAGAAGATTAACAATCAGAAATCCCGTCAAACCCACGAAAAAGATATCTTTGTTTCAATAATTTCGTATCCAAACAGAATTAAACGAAGGCTTCGCAAAGCTAATTCAATAATAAATCGGGTCAAAGAACATGAGGGACATGTTTATTTAAAAATTGTGAAGAATAAACTATTAATAGTAAAGATATAAAATAAAGATTAATAGTAAACTTACTCATTTCAATGAGGATGTATTTGCTGCTTGGTAATGCCGATCACAATTCACGATGTCGATACATTGTTCGTCGACCTCGCACAATGTTCAGTAGATCTCAGGTCAGTGGCCTTACCGAGAAAGGGATACGATCGGAGGGGCCTCAGGTAGAAACGGCACGATTTCACTTTTACAACATTGTCACCAAGCACTGACCACTTAATTAATCCTCGACAAGTTCACTTTCATATCAATGTCACAAAACACATTGGCCACTTAATCAATTCTCGACAATCGGGGATTCATCTCAGTGGCAGGCTCACGATGCCGCCTGCTTCCACCTCCTCGAGGATTGCTTCCTATGCTTCTAATGTCTGTGCGTTCAGGCTCTGCTGTCACAATCCACAACTCCCTAGTGATAAAAATTATAATGCGATTTTCTCACATATTGAATTGTTCGTATTTTCGAAGACTCTTTCCTTAATCTTCTCACTTTGTTCGAATTTCCGCCGCACTCCACGAAAACCGAAAAGATGCGATACAGTTTCTACGAGGAATACATTGCGTTAACTAGCGAACTCGCAACGCGCAGTATTAAAAACTCGGCTCTTTTCAAAGCCATAGATATTAACCCAGGAAAGTTCGTCCTTAGAGATTATTAATAAGTGATCTGTGTGTTTAGTAATAATGCAGTGAAAGTGAACGTTGGAATAGCCTGCCTGGAGATTGTTCGTTACCGTCGGATACAGATCAGCTGTGCAGTTCATCATACATTGTACGAGATCAATGCACTATCTTCCTACACACATTTCCTTGCATGAAGTAGATTTACAACCAAATGAGTGAGTTTCTTATTGATAATATTTTTCATGTTTCCTTAACAAACAAAGCCCTTACGTCCTTTAACGCTATTATTTATTATTGAATTAGCTTTGCGAATCGTTCATTGAATTGTGTTTGGACGCGGTATTATTTAAATTAAAATATCAATTACGTACTTTGTTAATCTTCACTGTACACCTTGCTTAAAAATTTCATATGGCACACAAGAGGTGTCATACACATCAGAAAATTAAAACGGTTGTCACGGTTAAACTTCTTATTATTTCGGGTCCGCAAAATTAGTAAATATTATTCAGACATTCTGAAATAAGGATGAATAGCGTTTTTCTTAAAATTATCACTGTCACGTAGTAAAAAAAAATTCGGAAAGTTCAGGCTGTGCAATTTGTTCATTAATTCGAACGCGGCCTGAAGCCCCTCTCTTACCGTCACGCTCCGCGGTCGAAGCACCTTGCACTTGATCGATCGACCACGTTATAATTCGCGCTCTCGCCTCTCATGGCGAGTGTTTTCCGTTAATAACTTGTAAACGAAACCGCGGATTGCATTTTCGCAAAAGAAAAAGTTACTTAGAATGACCTTAGCTACTCCCCATTTCCGTAATGCAAAACATTTTTGGGACACCCTGTATAATAAAATCCATTACTTCAAGAGTTATCGATTGTTAAATTTACGTAAAAAATCTAAATTAACCAGTTCTTAATTATCCGATGATGTGACAGAAAGAAATTTCTTTTTTAATAAAAAGAATGATGTCAGCTTGATTATTTATTTATCGCTGTACATTTTTTACTCAATAACATTACAGCTGACGTCAAGCGAGATAGGTATAACCTATACCTACATAACGTGGTCTTTATGTTTTGAAATGATGCTATAATAGGCGTAAACAGCTGATTATTTTATGTGGCCCAGTGTGCGACGCAGCGATGTTTTTTTCAGAATTATACAGGATGTTCCATAAATATTTTAACAGCCGAAAATGGGAGGTACCTGAGGTCATTTATAGTAACTTTTTCCTTAGCGAAAATTCAATCTGCTAGTAATTTAACCGTGGCAGCCGTTTTAATTTTCTAGCGTGCGTGACACCTCGTGTGTACCATGTGAAATTTTTAAGCAAGCTGTACAGTGAAGATTAACAAAGTACATAAGTGATATATCAATAAGTATATCATCTAAACTAGTCCTTCGGACCGCAATTGCGGTACAATAACAGAAATAGATTAGATTAGTCGGAGTGAATGTCGCAGTTCGGAATATAACTTCTTCAAGAATGTCTCAGTTCGGAATATAACTTCACATCGACCAGTGAAATTACTCAAGACAGCTTTGCGACTGTAAGCTTAAGAATTTTTTAAAAAATATTCTAATGTCCAATTTCCATATATTTTCCTTCTTTTCACTTCTATTTGACATGTACAGTGACTATCACTTAAAATCGTGCACCTGGGAATTCAGCTGATTTTCATTTATAAAACGTGATAATTGTGAAACACATATACAGGGTATCCCTGAAAGATATGTAGAAGCGGGCGGATGATTCCTCATAGAAAAACATGAAAAAAATATAGAATAGCTAACATGAATTTTTATTTTTTGTTGACATTCCAAGCAATAGCAAAATTTTAAAAAAACATTCTAGTTATGGTGTAGTAGACTGGATCCTCTATCATCTAAAAAGAAAATTCGAGTCGTTTAGTCCAGTTCTGAAAAAGTTATTGCGTTTCAAAAGTTATCCGGACATTAATGGGAATTACTGTATTACCATTAATGTTCGGACAACTTTGAAAACGCAATAACTTTTTCAGAACTGGACTAAACGACTCGAATTTTGTTCAGATGACAGAGAGATGATTATTTTTTACCATTCTTCTTGTAAAACTTTCTTTGGACTTTCTTTATTTGTAATGTGGCGGCGACAAGCCGGCGCCACGTCCCCGCCATGTGTTTAGTTTTAAGACGAAAGGATGTTTGGACGAATGGACCGGGCTGCATGCTGTGCGTTAGCGTCGAGCGAATGTCTAGACGATTGGTTTGAGTGTCGCGTAGAATGAATGCCGTCTAGTCAGGATAGAGTGAAAGCGAACCGTGAGAATGAGAAAGAATGATCTGGATGGGATGCATCGGTGAGCGAATGGCTAGTTCAGTAAGAACCCTCGTCGGGAACGGTACGCGAGCATCGCGAGTTTTGTTCCGGCGTCATTTGTAAATAAAAGTAGTCCGATCGTAACCGGGTTCGATTCTTTCTTCCCGTTGCCGATCCCACCTCCTCAGTAATATTATGTAATCGTATTTTGCTTTCCAATTTATTCCACACATGTTCTATCATGTTAATATCCGGCAATTGGGGAGATATTTGACGAACTTTATACAATAAGTAACCTCTTGCCACGTAAGAATTATGCTTTGGATCGTCGGCGTAAAATTTAAAATTCTTTAAAAGCCCCATTTTTCCTGCACTCTGCTTTAAGTTAATTTTTAATATACAGGGTGTCCCAAAAATGTCTCGCAACCCAATCCGGAAATGTCATAATTTTGGAATACCCCGTATTATTGATAAACACTAAATTCCCAACATCGGACGCCGATATGTGGCCCCGCACCATTTCAAATCCACCGCCAAATTAACCGCAGATTGAAGATGCTTAATGTTTATTGCTGTATTTGGCTTTCTCGATATCATTTTCCAAATAAGCACAAATGTTAAATATGGATTAAATTTTGAATGAAAATTAGGGTTTTCCAAAAAGTAAAATCTTTTTTGATTTATTCTCTTGCAAATTCGCGTCTCCTCTTTTTATTCTACAAACTTATCGATGGCTTCTACCGTGCAATTCTACCATGATAATTTTTTCTTCTTAATACTCTTTTAATGATCGATTCACTTGCTGCTGTATTTAAAAAATTTTGAACATCTGATGCCAATTTGGGAGCACTTATTATCGGATTTTCTTTAATTTTTCAAATAATCCATCTCTCATTGGTTGCATTCAGGTTTTTATCTTCCTTGCCTCCTTTTGTAATACTTTTGATTGTACTTTTACACCGATTAATAATTTCAGTTAAAATTTAATTTAATATGATATTATTATACTAATGCTAATATTATATTAATATTAATAAGCGAAAACTTTATCACTTAGGCTCGTGATATATCTACGTGCTAGACTCAGGTCTAAAATATAAATATAAATATATTTTTCATATTAATATTAACTTAAATATTTTAGGAAACCAGTGGAACGTCATCCTAGACGAAATTTTTATTTTTGTAGTTTATACACCCTCCGTATCGAAATGATTTCCTGATTTATAAATTTGCAACGAAATAACATACGCCATTTGATTATATACAATAAAAGTTAAAGAAATACTTATTACACTCGTATAGCTGTATCATACTTAGTAAATTACGCTTACGTCTTGAAATTAATAACAGAGCAAGCAAAAAACATCATTCTTTAAAATGGTACGTCTTCAACAATACAGTTATATTTTTTGAAAAATGTGTTAACACAATAAATTAAAAGCCATAAAAATCATAAAATCGTGTATTTGCAGAGCAATAAATTTGTTACGTAAGTTCATCCGCTAATAAAATTATTGAAAGTAACACGAACTGGTACACACAAGTGTGATTATTATAAAAAACACATGAGTTTTTTATTTTTTTTCTGTCATTTCAAATAATTTTTAAATAAAATTTTTGAAAAAAGAGGTTCCTGAGGTCATTTGAAGTAACGTTTTCCTTAGCGAAAATGCAATTCACAGCTTTGTTTACGAGTAATTAACGAAAAACACTGGCCAGTTCCGCATAGAAAAGTCATTTCGGTCAAAAGAAGTTTGTGTAGGAGTTATTTAATAATGATATTACTTGCAAGTAAATTATTTCTCAAATAATATTTCAGAATTTATTTCTATGTATGCTTATTTCAAATGAACTTATTTGTTATCTTATTTGAGACAAGTATTTGTCGTTTTCATTTGTTATATTTATTTCAAATGAAAAGTGCCTATCTCTGTTACCAACAGTGTACGACTTTTACTGACTACTAATAATTATTGAAAATTTTGTTGTACTGTTGTTGTATATTAAATCAAGAAGTATTAAACTACACGTCTATATACGCGTTTTAGCAATTTCCCACAATTATCACGTTTTATAAATGAAAATCGGGTGAATTTCTACGTGTGTGACTTTAAATGTCAGTCAATGCATCATATTATCGTAAACATATCAAAAATAATACATATATACACAGATTTTGGCAATACTTCCGAAAGGGACCTATCGCAGATCGCAATCAAGATGGCATTTGAATGGTGTATACATGAGGGGGGAGTGTCCTAAATATAAAATTCTAGCTACGGACATTTTGTAGTTTTTGCGATATTTACAAAAAACTTTTAATGCTATATCTTGAAAGCTTTGCATATAGACAACTCTGATTTACTAAATGACGCTGATCCAGACGTTTTTAAACATGTATCTTCCTTGTGGTCGTATCTAAGCACTTTGTTAGGTTAGGTCTGGGTTAGATTATTTTTCGAACGAGCGGAGCGATCGATCCACTCTAACGATTCTCACTTCAACAATATTAAGTATCTCTGAAATCACTGAAATTAAGCTTTCTGTTTTCTATAAAGTAGATTCCTTTTTCGGAAGTTTACCCATCATAATAGCTGCCATGAAAAGTCAGAGGCTTCTGCTGACCTACACGTCGCCATAGACGCATAGGTATTTGCAAGATTCATTGCGATGGTAGCTTAGGTTCTTCATTAATACTTTGAAAACTACTAAATGTCCGAAGCGAATATTTTATATTTGTGACCCCCCCCCCCCCTTCCGCCGTCAAATGCCGTTTGCAACGGCACGATGCAAGGAAGTTCTCTGTATCGCGAAAGTAGAAACAAAAGGATTCAACGAGCTCGCTTGAGAATAATTGTGTGTAAACTGTTTGCGCACTAAATGAACCGTATAATAAAATAATTCACTTGTATAATAAATCACAATAAACTTAACGATTCGATAATGATAAGAACCAATGTAACAAAAGTAACAATAAAGATATTATCTCAGTAGCAAATGCACAAGGTATTATACTTGTGAATTCTGTAATAGCTCGAATGACACGGTACGTACTGGGATTTCCGTACATTCGTAACGAAGAGTGTGAGTGAGGCTGACCGCTACGGTTACGACCAGGCGAGAGCAGGATGCCTGGCACTCGTTACGTGAGCACATCACCCAAAGACGGTCTCCCGTGCAAAACAAAGAGGTTGGTGCAATTGAGTAATGTGTTCACTCACAGATGGCAGGCCCTGTCCCTCCCAATGGCATCGTTGTCGATCGAGCATGGCCAAACCCGAACAGTTCGGCGATATGTCTCTTTCTGAAGTTTACCTGATTACATTGTCCGACAAAATCAAACTTTTTTTCTGGGTTCCTATAGCCACTACGAAATTCTTGTAGAGCTTCACTCCCTGGACAAGAATCCGAAAACCGAATTGCTCCATCACCCTCAGTTTTTTAAATAAACGAACTTTTGTAAAAACCCAAAATTTTCGACAAAAATGAGGTATTGCATGAAAAGTAAAAACGTTAGAGAGTTCTAAATAGTGTTAAAAGGTAGAGGAGAGTTTCCCGAATATAGTGGCATGCAATTTATTAATTGTTTTTGGTCCTAAATAGCAATAAATTGATGTCAAAGTTTAAAAAAGTGTCGACGTGCACAGTTTCTTCGCAATATTTTTGTATTTTTACGAAAAGTTTTTTGTTCAACACGAAAACCCTACCCAGGACCGGATTCTGTAGACATTTCTGAAGAAGAAACGGCACGGTAAAAGTGTCGGAACTATATACATTTTGAGTAGGTCGAGAAAATGTTCGTCGGCAACATGTA